CTGAGAGTGCAATCCACACCATCCTCCAGATCATTTATGAAGATATTGAACAAAACCGGCCCCAGGACTGACCCTTGGGGCACTCCACTTGATACCGGCTGCCAACTAGACATGGAGCCATTGATCACTACCCGTTGAGCCCGACAATCTAGCCAGCTTTCTACCCACCTTGTAGTGCATTCATCCTTATTCTAGTGTCATTGTCACAGGCACCTTCTTACCCTGCAGTCTCTCTTCCAGTAAAGTTGTTCAGGCAGGGGGTCCGACTATCATGGAGAGATGCACCCTCACAGCCTCTGCTTCAGTAGCGATTGAGGCTGCTTACAGGGTGTGTGTGTGTGTGGAATATAATTCCCTGCTGAATGATTGGGCTGTCTTTTGACTGGCCCACAATGGAAAGGGCGGAGCCCAGTCAGGTATTGCTGGGCATGGCTCTGGCAACTAGCAGAGGCTGGGAGGTTTGTGCAACACAGTGTCGCTCTCTCCTACGCTTGTTTGCTATGGTGGGCCTGGCTTTGTTCAGGTATGTGGAGTACTCTCTGTACCCGTTGCTGCTGCTTCCTCCATCGTCTCGCTGTCCATGTTCCCTGCCTTCAGTGTCGGGCCCTCAAAGCACTTTGCACCTGAGCATGGCGCTGAAAATGTCCTGTCTGGGACTGTTCATGCCAAAGATGCAGAAAATCAAGCAGCTGAGACCGAAATTCCCTGCCAGAGCCCTATTCCCACAGCCAGAGGGTAATGCTGCATGAGGGTACATTTTTCAATTGTTAGTTCATCAGCATGTGTTTTAGAGCATGCCAATGTCAAGCATTATTGTTAGCACTGACTTCATGTCGATTTTCTTTGGAAAGCCACACAACTCCAGGAGGTGTGTGTGTGTTGGGGGCAGTGAACCCATATGAGCTGTCATTCCCGCTACAGCATGTGGGAAAGAGCAAGCTTCTGGACTCTGTTAAGATATGATCTATTAATCACAAAGTGATTCATGCTCTGTAATGTCTTGACTCAATGATTATCTCCTTTGGACTGAAATCTAAAATGAAAATGGTTCCGACAAGTCAGTTGTAGGAAATGAGTGTCACTTGGAGACAGGCATGCCTGGCCTAACTTGAACTCCGTCACAGGAGATGGCAAAATGATTGTCAAGAAGGAGGGAAAAACACGTTTCTGTCAGCTAGATTCACAGCTTAGTGTTTTCTTTTGGCTCAGGAAAATGAATAAAAGGAAGTGTCGTTGACAGAGTGGGTGACGGGTGGAGTATACACAAAACATGTTACAATAATGTTAAGGTTCTGGATTAGCCTGACCGAAGTGGTAAACTCAGGCATGAATAAAATTCTGGCCAGATTTTCACAGCCCTGCATTACTGCAGAAGGGTACAAAACGTGAGCACACCCGGAATCCTGCATCTGTGTGAACGAACTATCCTTTGCACATGCAAATTGGGTAATTGGATGTGTACATTTCCTGATTGCATGTGCAATTATGTGATCGGTGGTTATTATTTATTACTTGTAGCATGGTAGTGCCTAGATGCCCTGACAAGAATATATGGACCCTATTGTGCTAGGCAACACACACACACATACTCACAGACAGACCCTGCCCTTACATTTTAGACAAGACTAGATGTGGGGGGTGGGAAAAGAGGCATATTAAGGTGATGTGTCTTGGACAATCTTGTGCAGAAAGTCAGTGGTGGAGCTGGAACTAGAATCCAGGTCCCCTGATTCTAGTCCAATGCCCTGTGCATTGGATCACCCTGCCTCTCAGTATATGTGACTTTGGGGTGTGGCCATGCAACTGGCTGTGTGGGCTTGTGTTACTGTGTTTAGACATTTGCTTGGGCCATGAGTGTGGATCATAGTCTATATTAGTTATTTTTAGTATTGATTTTTAGGTAGTCTATTTCAGTTCATTATTTTTAGATCATCTAATAAAAAAAGGACAAACAAACCATAACGGATATAAAACCAGCCACTATACATAGTATTCAGTAACTGGTGCTGCCTACAGAAATATGAGCAGTCAGTGTGGCAGGAGTTAAAATAGACAAAACATGAATCAGGCAAAAGCAAAACCAGAAGGGACCCAATCTTGCAAGCCCCTACTATAGGTGTAGTGATTATTGTAACAGGTTTCAGAGTAACAGCCGTGTTAGTCTGTATTCTCAAAAAGAAAAGGAGTACTTGTAGCACCTTAGAGACTAACCAATTTATTTGAGCATGAGCTTTCGTGAGCTACAGCTCACTTCATCAGATGTATACCGTGGAAACTGCAGCAGACTTTATATATACACAGAGAATATGAAACAATACCTCCTCCCACCCCACTGTCCTGCTGGTAATAGCTTATCTAAAGTGATCAACAGGTGGGCCATTTCCAGCACAAATCCAGGTTTTCTCACCCTCCACCCCCCCACACAAATTCACTCTCCTGCTGGTGCTAGCCCATCCAAAGTGACAACTCTTTACATAATCAAGTCGGGCTATTTCCTGCATAAATCCAGGTTTTCTCACATCCCCCCCACCCCCATACACACACAAACTCACTCTCCTGCTGGTAATAGCTCATCTAAACTGACCACTCTCCAAGTTTAAATCCAAGTTAAACCAGAACATCTGGGGGGGGGGGGGTAGGAAAAAACAAGAGGAAACAGGCTACCTTGCATAATGACTTAGCCACTCCCAGTCTCTATTTAAGCCTAAATTAATAGTATCCAATTTGCAAATGAATTCCAATTCAGCAGTTTCTCGCTGGAGTCTGGATTTGAAGTTTTTTTGTTTTAAGATAGCTATCTTAAAAAAACTTCCAATCCAGACTCCAGCGAGAAACTGCTGAATTGGAATTCATTTGCAAATTGGATACTATTAATTTAGGCTTAAATAGAGACTGGGAGTGGCTAAGTCATTATGCAAGGTAGCCTGTTTCCTCTTGTTTTTTCCTACCCCCCCCCCCCCAGATGTTCTGGTTTAACTTGGATTTAAACTTGGAGAGTGGTCAGTTTAGATGAGCTATTACCAGCAGGAGAGTGAGTTTGTGTGTGAATGGGGATGGGGGGGGTGGGGATGTGAGAAAACCTGGATTTATGCAGGAAATAGCCCGACTTGATTATGTAAAGAGTTGTCACTTTGGATGGGCTAGCACCAGCAGGAGAGTGAATTTGTGTGGGGGGGTGGAGGGTGAGAAAACCTGGATTTGTGCTGGAAATGGCCCACCTGATGATCACTTTAGATAAGCTATTACCAGCAGGACAGTGGGGTGGGAGGAGGTATTGTTTCATATTCTCTGTGTATATATAAAGTCTGCTGCAGTTTCCACGGTATACATCTGATGAAGTGAGCTGTAGCTCACGAAAGCTCATGCTCAAATAAATCGGTTAGTCTCTAAGGTGCTACAAGTACTCCTTTTCTTTTAGTGATTATTGTAGTGACAGTCTGTTTCTCTGTACTGCTTGGGGTCTCTGCATAATATTAATCTGTGTAACAGTATTCTCAGTACTGTGGTGTCTGCTACTACATTTACTATGCCGGGCAGCATTTGAAGGATCAGGTCCTAATATATCTGTGCTTTGCCCTGAAGTTTGCTAGAGTTGGCCTTTGCTAGACCACCAAGGGGAGGTGAGGCTCGGTACTGAAGAAAATCGGCTACCAGTTCATGCGAGTCTTATCCAATGAAAAATGAGAAGTCTCACACACATTGGTAAGATGCGCATACAAATGCAGGCAGGGTTGATGTGAGACCCACATGGCGCCTAGAACTTCATGTGAGCCCTCTGCTCTGCAGACAACAGTGCACCACAATGACGTTATGGTGCTTTTCACGCCTATTGTGTTCAAGGGCGAGTGAGAATGCAATAGTTGTAGGTTTCTTGCTTGTTTTCTGATTTGATCTAATCCCAGGACCTTATCCAATGTCCATTGAAATCAACTGAAGCTTTTCTACTGACTTCAGTGGCACTGACTAAGGTCCCAGCGCTCTCCTTTCAGGCAAGTTAACTTTGGGAACGAATGCTTCCAAATGGCTGGTGAGACGATAATGACACAGGGCTTGTCTACATGAGAACATTGCAGTGGTTTAACTCAAGGAGGGATTTTTAAACCGATTTAGTTAAACCAGTGCAAGTTCTGTGTGGGCCCAATGACTGAGACTAAAAAGTATTCCATGATGTTCTGTGGAATAACAGTGTTCCCCTATGACTGAAATAGGGGAGAGAAGAATGAAAGGGCAAAGTTTATAAACTGGAGTTGCCATTGTCTTAATTCCACAGTTACTAAGAAAAGGTCTCATTGTAGTACTAGATGCTGCTTCTCTAAGGATCTTGCAGACCTAACAATGTAAACAAAGAGAGATTGACCAGCAAGAGAATGAGATGCTTAATAATAAATTCTCTACATTTTTTCTGGGTTAATTAATTTGGATTGCTGGGACAGCCACAGCAGTTAGGTGCATGTACTCTTCTCAAAAGAACGTCTGTCAGACCAGAGAATAGTCTGGCAAGATAAGCGGTAAAAGTCTCATAATTTTCATTATGTAAGTTTAGACTGGGCATAGACATGGGAGGCTATATTGTAAGTGACAGTCTTTCACTGGTAGGTATATGTTGAAGATTACCTACAGTGGCTGCCATTTAAAAGTTAATAGCTGTTGAGAGCTACTGCACAGAGTTGTATTGGATATTTGCTATTTTCTCTACTCAGGTTAGGAAATATTGGCTGTATCTCAGCTACCACTACATGAAAACTGTTAGTAAATGTTGACTTATTAAAGAGAGCTCTGTGCCTGTGGCAGAAGTCAGAGGTGTAAAAGACCTAATAGTTTAGCCTGGTTTTATGTTTAGTTAGAAAAATTCAGTCTTTGGCATGTTTTTTGTGTTGAAATCTCTGTGTAAGAAACGGGTAATCAGTTCAGCCATCACAAAATACCACTGATGCTATTTTTTATATGGAAAAAAGGTGTGTAATAAAAATCAGAAAGGGAAAGAAGGTAAAATAATTTACCTGCCCTGCAGTATCGTATAGCCCCAGCAAGTGCTGCTTGCCTCCGACAGTCACAGTCACTGGAAGAGAGAAACAGAGAAGTTGTGAGACGCAACCCCCAACCAGTAGTTGTGCTAGCAGGACCGGCTCTAGGCACCAGCAAAGCAGGCATGTGCTTGGGGTGGCACAATTCCAGGGGCGGCATTCTGGCCACCACCCACCCCCCTTTTTCTTTTTTGCTGGGGCAGCTGCGCTCTCGGGGCTTGGGGCGACAAATTTTTTGCTTGGGGAGGCAAAAAACCTAGAGCCGGCCCTGTGTGCTAGGCAGATTAACGTGCGCTTTACAATGTGCACCCTGAACTAAGCTGACAATCATCCCAAAATGAAGGCAACCTAAAGTCACAAGAAAAGCAGATGGTTTTGGTTGAGCTCTCATTTCTTAACAGATAGAGCGGGTTCCTCAAACTTCATTGCACTGTGACCCCCCCTGCCCTTCTGACAACAAAAATTACTACATGATCCTGGTTGCGCGGGAGGGAAAGCCTGAGCCAAAACCCAAGCCTCACCACCCCGGGCGGGGGGCCAAAGTCAAATGCCAAGGGCTTCAGCCCCAGGAGGGGAGCCTGTAACCTGAGCCCTGCTACCCAGGGCTGAGGCCAGTCTCATGCCAGCCATGGCGACCCCATTACAACAGGGTCGCGACCCACTTTAGGATCCCGACCTGCAGTTTGAGAACCGCTGGGATAGACGAATTACAAGCACTGCTGCTGTTTGGGCATTCAGAGATCTAAGGACATTTGCTAATGTCTATGAGACCACCAGCTGATTACAGCAAGTCATTAGGAGTCCAAAGCACAGGGAACCTTCCTCCCCACCAAGTCTGTTTGGGTTATGTCTGGTGTTGGTGTTTTCTCTGTTCAGGCTTTTTTTCTTCCTTAATTCTAGTGCTATGAAACAATGATGTATTTGGAACTGGGTAGCCCTCAGTCTGGATCAGTGCAAATGCATTACTTTTTTGCTCATTCTCTCCTTTTTGAATGCGGTGATGTTCCATACCAGTTAATACAGTGTTATTATTACAAATCATTGTGCTTAAACACACTTTGAAAACAGGAGTGTAATCTTGGGGGGGGGGTCAAGCATTTTCCAGGATATTCACCAGATTTTATAATAGGGCTGATGACTTGATCTATTGATCAGATTCTGTACTGAAGCACAAATGCTCTTAGAGTCAAATTCAACACGCGCTCTCTGGGCCTGATCCAAAGCTCATTAAAGTCCACTGGAGTCTTACCATTGATTTCAGTGGACCTTTTGGACAACATCCTTTATAATTTGATCTCTCTAATCAACATAATTTCATCTAAAAACGGCCTCTGCTTTAATAGAGTTTAGTTATCCAGCTAATGTGCTTAAATCATTAACGTTCAGTCTGGGGAGAGATGTGGAATTCAATTCAAGTCAGTAGGAAAAGATTTTAAGCAGGTATCAGGAGAGTCACATCTCAGAACAATGCTGTTCAAAATTATTCACTGGGTGTACAGGATACCTTAAAACATGCAGGCGAAGGGACTGATGCGTGCTGGAGGTGTGGCTGGGGAAGGCTATTTTTGATACTTTTCCCCTAGTCATCTTCTAAAATTAATGAGGGCAGGGAGAGATGAATAGTTAACGTTGAGAAAATATGGGACTTGAAATCATCGCATAGGCCCTAGCTGATGGTTTTACATGATGGGTCTTTTGCAGATGAAAAGTACCCACTGCATTTCAGAAATTAATTATCGCTGCTGTGGGGAACTGTGATGGGTTGTTGACCCCATACTAGACTGGGAAGCATTAATGAGGTTCAGAAGATGCCAGTTAACCTGATAGGAAACACCTGAGGGAGAATTAGGCTTGATAAACAATTGCTAATGGAGGATGGTGCCCAGCTGAGCAGGAAAGCCCTGGGATCCTGGCCCTGAGGGAAGGGTGTATCTAGAGAGCTGGTGAAGCGAGAGTCTCAGGAAAATGGTGGCAAGGTTCAGGACAGTGCAGATATTGGTCTCGGGCTGGAACCCAGAGTAAACTCTGTGTCTGTCTGGATTCACTGTCCTGATTCTGTGGCAGGTTGCTATGTAGCATGATGCCATCTCTCTCTCTTTTTTTCTCCCAAGTCTTGGTGCATTTTTTCCTCCTCACTTTTTGTTGAAAAATCTTTTTCTCATTGTAATGGGGTGGTTACCCTGCTCCTGAAATAAGAAGAGTGAGAACAGCTGGGGGAAGATGACTGAGTAGTGACCATATATGTGGCCCACTCAATCAGGGCCCAGCTGGCCCTAATCAGAGGGCTGGAGGCCAGGAGCTACAGTCAGTGTCTGTCTCTCTCTCTCTCTCTCTCTCTCTCATTGGGGCTGGGGGGAGAGAGAGAAAAGGACCTGGCTGTCCAGGAGTGGAGCAGTGTTGGGGGAAAGGCAAGAGGAGCTGCGGAGCTCCAGCCTGGTAAACCCCCAGGATGCAGGCCTTGTTAAAGGCCAAAGCAGGTACTGGGGTTGTAGAGGTGCAGCCCGGGGTTAGGCAGAGGAAGCTGGTCCAACACCCCTTGCCAATGATGAGTGGCCATTACAGATGGCAGTCTTCCCCAGTGAGCAGGGGCTAGATGATGACTGGCAGTAGCCACTGAAGCAAGGTGGGTTTTGAGGATTGGGGGGTCCCTGGGGAGGGGAGACCCAGAAAGTGGGGGTACTGCGGGTGCAGAACCCTGAGGTAAAGGGCACGGGGGTCCAGGAGGGACATGGGGCCGGAGGCAGGCAAGACACCAGCCAGTAGAGGGTGCTCCGGAGCTGGAGTTGAGCTAATTCCCAGGACAACCAACAGGAGGTGCCACAATGGTGAGTCTTGATGTCTCTACACTCATCATCTGAGGAAATATCTTTCTTGAATACATTACCACTATGTAACATATTCCTCTCCCACTAGTAGAATTGGTTTATTGACATGAATTTAAATTAGGACACTGATAGCCTGCTTTGCCTGTGGATTGTTCAGCTCCCAAACATGGGGATTACCAAATCATTAACAATTAAACAAGGTCAGAAGACTTCCCAATTATTTGAAGCAGGGTCTGAATGGGCTCTCCTCTGACATCTAGTTATGAGCTGGGAGAGAAGATGTCAGGAACTGACCTTGTTTGCATAGAGACACCCACTCTGTCTAGATGTGCAGCATAAACTGGAGTTGCTTTGCCCAAATGATCACTTTTGGCTGGTGCTGGATTGCAAATCACTTTTGTTATTGCAGGGAAAGGGGTAATAAAGTGTTATATGAATCAAGGGAAGCAGAACTGTGTTTGGCATGGCCTGATCGAGGGGTTCACCCTCACCTGAACTGTGCTCAGTAAGCAGGGGGCAGGGGTGCCAAAGCTCAGTGGAGATGAGAGAAGGTGGGGACAGGTGTTTCTACCTGGTGGCCTGGGCTTTGCTTAAGGGTCCTAGGCACCATTTGATTGTCACTCTCCCCATTGTGCAATGACAGAGCTGGTTAAGATTCAATTGAGAGTCTTTTGTTGTGGATCACTAGAGGTGAAATCGCAGATAACCAGGTCTAAGCATAATTCCTGGTATGGAATAGCCTCTCTGCTGAAGGAGACTATCCAGCCTGCACTAGCAGCGAGGCTCCCGCACTAACAGATGAAAACACTGAGAGCTGCGTTAAGTGCTAGGGCCTCAAGACATCCAGAAGTGGCAGTGGTGGGGTGAGTGATGGCAGAGTAGTTGAGGTGTCTTTCTCCCCCGTGCCCCCCACCAGGGTAGGAGGTAAATTCACGTGAATGCACTTCTGAACTCTGGGCCTTCACTGACCAAGGACAACAGCTGTGAGTGGGGTGCAGTGGAGGGAGGGGCACATTAGAGGAACTTTTGTTTGTTGGACTTTTTCAGTGCAAGGTGAGAACCTGAGGCAACATACTCTGAGGGGTGGAGGTGCTGGTCATGTGCTTCTGAATCATGCTTGTGGCACTTTCCCAAATTAATGCTGGGTTACTTTTTCCTTTTTATTAAAACTTTTTTTTTCTACACACCCGCTGAGTGCTGACAAGAGGGGAACTATTGGAAGCTCCCAGGGGTGGAGTGTAATTTTCCCAGGTCAGTGGGTGGGGGCTCGAGCTGGTTGTGTGTTCTATTCTTAAAAAGAAACCCCCCTGGATATTGAACCCATCCCTTGTCACTGCCAACTGCACTGGGCAGAAGGCTTACGCTTGTGTAACATAATGTCTACATTCTGATGTTCTGGTACTAGAACTTCCATCATGTCACGGACATGGTGCTTGTGAAACAGACATCAGAGGTGAATTAGTTGATTCTTCCAATGAAGATCTCACAGCTCCTGCTAACAGATGATCAGCATGCCTCTGCAGTGTGAGGGATGACTCCGCATGTCCACTCTGTAGACAGTGGTCATAGCAGTGACTGGCTGCAGCTCATAGATATGCTACTTGCTATAATGTTCCCTCCAATTTTTTGCATCCATGTGCAGAATGAATTTTATGTGCACCAATATGGAGGTGATGTGCGGCGGGGGTGGGGCTGAGGGGTTTGGAGTGTGGGAGGGGGCTCAAGGGCTGAGGCAGAGCATTGGGGGGGTTTGGGCTCTGGCTGGGGGTGCGGGCTCTGGGGTGGGGCCAGGGATGAGGGGTTTGGGGTGCAGGTTGCCCCAGGGCTGTGGCAGGGAGAGAGGACTTGCAGCAGCCCAGGGCTTGGAGAGACTGCCTCTCCCCACTGTGGTGGCTCTGGGTCTGGGGCCGGGGAGAGACCGCCTTTCCCCCGGCTGCAGCCCTGCATGCTGTCTACCTCTCTCCAGTCCAGGCCTCTCTGGCTGCAAAGCCTTGATAGCCTGGTGTGCAGCTTAGAGGGAGCTTAGGCTGCAGCTGCTTTTCCAGGTTCATAAACCCTGCTGCTGGTTTATATCCTGCTCATAATCTACTGTTGCCTGTTACTCTTGCACCAGCTGTTCTTGGACCATCCTGAATTATTTCAGTAAAGCAAAACCAGCATATAAGTGTTATCAAGTCATTAGATGTGATACAGACTCATTTGCAGAAGTG